TTTTTTTCCCTGTTTACGCTGTTGTGAGAGTTTGGGTGTTTTTTTTTTTTTTTTTTTTTTTTTTTTATAGAAGCAATGCATGATTATATACCAGATAAAATATTGCATAGAAAATGAAAACTTCCATGGCTCCTCTCTATCGCCACAACTTTTTGTTATTATATATCTTGGTCTCTGTCTTTCAAGACTTTAACACATATTTAGGTATAATTTTCCTTTATATAATAGAATTTAATTTTATATACTATTCTGTGACTTGTTTTTTTCTCACAGCAGTTTATCATAGACTTTTTTTATGCTGATATATCTAAATTAACCTTTTCTTTTACCTTATTTTTAACTTGTTTGTAAGTATTCTGTTATGTGGGGATCTTTTTTTATTGTAACTTACTTAAACATTTCTCTGCTGAGGGACACTAATGCTGAAGTGAATATCTTTGCACCTATGTTTCAATACTGGTGCAAGTGTATCCATGAAATAAATTCCTAGAAGTAAAATTGGTCAAACGATGCTATACTTTTTGTCAAAATGCCCTTCAAAAGGACTGTGCTAATTTATAGCCCCATTAGCACTAAATATAACTATCTGTTTCTCACATCTCTATCAACACTGGATAGTCTTAATTTCTAATCTGAGCCATTGAATAGACAAAAATTGACCTCATTTTAATTTTCATTTCTCATGTTTTCATGGTCACTTTTTACATTTATTGAGTGTTTACATTTGTTATGTGCTTTGCTTGTCCAAGTTGCACTTGTTTTTATACTGAAACATTCATCTTTTTAATTTTTAAAAAACTGATCTGTAGCCGTTCTCTGTAAAAGGAATTATCACTTTTTGCAGAGGAGGGGCCATTTATTTATGAACCTTTTAGATGCACAAAAATGAGCCTACCTTAGAGTTTTGAAACCATTTTATAGCCTGACTAAATTAGGATTGAAAAGGTAAATTTCAGCTTGATACAATAAAGACTTTTTGGAGACTCAAAGTGAGATAACAATGTCACCTTCAGGAGGTAGAGACTGAAAAGTAGTAATTTGCTCTTTCCCATCTCTAGTGCCCCAGCCACCAGCACCTGCCTAAATTCTCAACCACTGATCAGAGCTAACAATGCAAAAATATCCAGGGCTTAGGAGAAGGAAATAAATGAGTCACAGAGAAATCCAGGATCATCTCTGCTTTTTGTCTTCTGAGGCTTATAAAATGAGGGTGTGAGTTTTAGCAAACTATTTTAAACAGATTTATTTATAGTCAAACCTATGAGTTGTATTCAGTTGTAATTCTTTCATCTGTCAAGTGTGGATAATAAATTAATTGCCTAAAGAAAGACGATCCCTCGAGGTCCTTTCCTGCTTTAGGGGCTATTTACCTTGTTATAAAAGGCAGATGCCTGTTGTGGAAAAAGATTTGGACTGTACCATTGCTGAGATCCTCTCTACTGCTAAATTTCTATACTTTTTGGCTTTGGGCTACTAATTGCCATTTTAGATTAAATAAGTTCGGAAATCCAACCAAAGAGTAAACTCTGCTTACCGCCTGGAAGCCTCCCCTGCTCAGGCCTCACTGCTTGGCCCGCTTTGAACTGTTGCCACGAGTCTCCTGCACTAGTAGCTAGGTCGTCCCCGGTCATAGTGCCCTGTGGCTGCCTTCTCTCTCCACTGAGATCACACACTCCCGGGTCCTGACACTGGGCTGGTCTCATCTCCTGAATACTCACCATATGGCTCTGCACCTGCCAGAGGGCTTTCGCGTCTCCTCTTATTTTCTTCTCTCAGCCCCTTCTTGGGTAAGAGTAGCAGGTAGTGTTATTTTTACCCGAAAGAAGGAAACTGAGGCCCAGAGAGAGGACTACCTCAGCAAATTTTCAAAAAAATGAAGAACAGCCCAGGTCTCACGTCTCCTTGCTCTTGCCTGTTGGTCAGCCTTGTGGAGAGGAAGCCAAGGCCCTTTGCTGTCTCCTGAGATGCTGAAAAGTCAGTGTTTCTTTCTCTTTTGCTGTCATTCCAGGTGTTACGTCCTATCCACTGCAGGTCATGTTTTGACTTTGTCACTGCGATCATCCAGGTGGGTATCTTTGATGTTGGAACAAGAGTGGAGAACCCACCTGGAGGACTGAGGGGAGGCTACATGGCTCTGACACGGTCTTTGGGCTTCCCACACTTCTTCTCTGTTTAGCCACTTTATACCCTGCCCCGTTTTTATCCAGAAAAGCTAAGGACACTCCAATTGCCAGAAGAACCTGTCTGCTCAGGCTCTTGTTTCCCGGGAAAGGCTCAGACATCTAAATGTGGGTGCTCAAGGTTGCCAGATGGTGGCCTCGTGAGGGGGAACACGGGGCTCCACAGTGGGGTGAGTGTGTCATGAAGTGGACTGGCCTGAGGTCAGCTTGTTACGTGGTTAGACATGGGTGTTGATAAGGTCAGAGCTTTAGATTTGATGTTCCTCTAGCTTGGTCAGCCTCTTTCCTTTTCTCTATAGCCAGCTCGTAGACATGTGTCCCCAGCTGACAGGACTTTAGGAGAGAGTAGGGCTGGGTTCTAAAGGTTATATCTTACGGTCAGGTCCAGAGTCATATTCTTGCATATAAAGTTTGATTATTTCAGGTAAGTTGGGGGTGAGTGTCGGGAAAGGGGAATTAGAGGTATGTGTATATAAGCCTTTTATTTCTTCAGGACAAACCCAGAGACAAAAAGCAAAATACCAGATCCTGAGATTAACTCCATCCAGGACATCGAGGAAGGGCAGCTCCTGAGGGGCTATGTGAAGTCCGTTGAGCCGCATGGCGTGCTCCTTGGGTGAGTGAGGCAGAGCCTGGAGACGTGGGCCAGACCCGAGTGCCCTTCCTGGGTCGGTCCTGGTCTGGGGTCTGCTGCGTCCCTCAGTCAGCTTCTCTGAAAGGAATGTGAAAGAAGGAGGCTCTATGAGTTTCTACCAGCTTTTTAAATTCCAGATTGTTTTATACTTTAAAAAATGTTTCGAATTATTCTTACTTGGTGTTTTGGGCAAAGAATACGGCATGTCCAATTTCAACTTCAAATATATTTAGATGTATTTGATTTAGTGTTTGATCATGATTTGAAAATGTTCTGTGAAATTATATAACATTCACAACCACCAGATAGTACAGCCCTCTCTGCTATTATGTTTCTTCTTTTTCTTTTTGTCTTTCCAGCAGTTTATGATTTATACATTGTGACGCTCTAATGTGGGGTGAAAAATACCTTTCAATCATATCTTCATTGTGCTTGATAATTTTTTTCCAGTTTACAAAGCCCTCTTTAGCCTTTTGAATGCCAGGAACTTATGTCTGTCATAAGTCCTGGTTAGAACTCGGGTCCCTGGGAAAGCAGAGGCACTAGGCTTGTCTGGGACTCTGTTGTATTTATGACCACAGGACCTTTGTCTCTCTCCTGTCAGCCTTGGCCCCTCAGTTGTGGGTTTGGCCCAGTACCCGCATGTCTCCCAGTACAGCCCATCCAAGAAAACCCTTTATAACAGACACCTCCCTGAAGGGAAGCTGCTCACAGCCAAGGTACTGAGGTAAGGGCCTTCTCCGTCCCCCTCCCCTTTCTCTGGGAGCCCTGGGAGTAGATTTTTAGAGGTAAACTTTAAATATAATGGCTTGTTCAGATGAACAAAGCCCATTTGTTTGAAGCCTTCTACCTCAGCACCTAAAAGCAGATGTGGACACTTTTGTCTGCATGAGCATCTGTTGAGGACAGAGTAGAGGGTCATCACAGCCTCCCTCTGTATTTTACTACTAAGCCTGGGAAATGTGCAGATCATTCCTAAGAATACTGAATGGATTCAAAGGCAGGGTGCAGAAAGTCGTGGGCTGCTTGCCGGGCCCGCTGTACCTCGTATGTGTCTTTGTTTCGCAGTGTGAGCCACCAGAAGAACCTGGTGGAGCTATCGTTCCTCCCTGGCGACACGGGGAGGCCGGACGTGTTTCCTGCCTCCCTAGGACTACCACTTCTAAAGCAAGACGAGAGGCAACTAGAGGCAGAGGAGAGAGACCACAAAGGGGAAAAGAAGGAGCAGAAGAAGAACCAGCCAAGGAAAGAGAAGAAGAACCAGAAGGGACAGGAGGAGGAGCCACTGCCCAGCAAGGAGAAGAGCGAGCCCCAGAAACCACGAGCGAGGAAGCAGGGCAAGCGGCCACGGCCGGAGTCTGGAAAGGAGCAGGTATATCCCCAGGGAGGATGGCCTCCACTCACATGAAAAGGAGAGCGTTTCAAAAGCCAGCTAGCCAGCTGCTTTGTCTTCTCTTGGACAGAGAGCCGCATGAGTGTGGAGGAGGCCAGACTGGGTGGTGCCAAGAGGGGCAGAGGGAGGGCATTGCCTCGGGCTGCCCCAGGGTGCTCCTGGGCAAGAAGGGTGGCTCAGCAGTTACCCACCTGTCATCTCAGGAAAGAATGAAGAAGCAAAAGAAAGCTGCTCCATCAGAGGAGGATGACAGTGGCGTCGAGGTGTATTATCGGGAAGGAGAAGAGGAGACAGAGACGAGGGTGCTGCTCGCGGTAAGGGACAGCATCGCATGGGGGAGGAGAGCTGCCCTGGGGAGGGGAGTCCTTGACCCTGCCTGAGAGCTGGGCTGTCTTTAGCATCACCTTCTTCTCTCATTTCCTGTAAGATGAAAAGTGGGGGCTGTTAGTTTCCTCAGCTGGTCATCAGCCCCCTGAGAATAGGGCCCCTGTCTTACCCATAGAATGGGTTGCATAAAATAAGTTGTAATCAGAATTAAATTTCGATTTATTGAAAGGAACTGAATTAAATTAGTGGGATGGGCAGGTAAAGAGCAGGCTGGGTCTTCCCGAGCCTGAGTTTCCCTCTGAAAAATGAGAACTGAGGACCGGGTGTGGAAGGGCTTCCCAGATACTTCAGGTATCACATCCCCACCCCCGTCAGAACATTTGTCATACCTCTGTCTTAACTTGACTCTTATTTTATACATATATGTTGTATGTGTGTGTATATATGTATATGCCGTGCATATGTTTTAAAAAAATTTGGTACCTGAATCAATTTATCTACAATGAAAGCCGTTTATCTCTACTATAAAGTTTCCCAAGTGATTGGGCCCTGGGAGGAGGGGAAAGTTCTTTCGGGTGGTGGAGTCCCTGCCTTTCCAGATAGAATGGGGCTGGGGAACAGGGAGCAGCCTGAGCCCAGTGCTTTCTTCACACGCCTCCATGATCTTCCAGGAGAAGCAGACCAGGCCAGCAGAAGTGCCCCGGCTAAAGCTGTCATCCGGCTTTGTTTGGGACGTTGGGCTAGACTCTCTGACCCCGGCCTTGCCACCTCGAGGAGAGAGCTCAGACAGCGAGGAGGACGAGAAGTCACAGCAAGCCACGGTGTCGTATTTTGCAGGGCTTTGTCCTTTTTGCAAGCACCCCTTGATGTCAGTCTCCTGTGCACTGTCCTAGCCTGTGGGTGTCTCCTCTGGCCGGGTGGGGCGGTCTCTGGCCAAGGAGTATTTATAGAGCTCAAGGGCTCCCCTGCCAACTTTGGCTTCCACCACAGACCTCTCCAGAGTCTGAGAAGCAGATTACTCATTTATTTTTTTGCCTTGCATAGCAGAAGAAGAAAAGCAAGAAGGAAAGGGAGTTGGAGATACCCCCTCTAAATTTGAGTTCCTCCCACCACAACGCTGTCCCTGAGAAGCAGATTACTCATTTATTTTTTGCCTTGCATAGCAGAAGAAGAAAAGCAAGAAGGAAAGGGAGTTGGAGAAGCAGAAGGCAGAGAAAGAGCTGTCTCGCATCGAGGAGGCGCTGATGGATCCCAAACGACAGCCAGAGTCAGCAGACGATTTTGACAGACTTGTGCTGAGCTCCCCAAATAGCTCCATCCTGTGGTTGCAGTACATGGCCTTCCACCTGCAGGCCACGGAGATCGAGAAAGCCCGGGCTGTGGCTGAGCGGGCTCTCAAGACCATCTCTTTCAGGTCTTGGCTTTGTCCCTTCTGCTTGAAGGAGGGATCATTTGACAGGGAGGGCCGTGTCTCCCCTGGATGCTGTGGGTCATTTCCTCTTTAGTAGGCCGATAGCAGTTGGGGTGACTGAAACCAGGGGCCCATGTGCCATCTGTGAAATAGATCTGCTCATTTATATTTTATAGTTCTCTTTACTGAAATAGCTAAGGGCAGCATTTACAAGAGTCCCTAACTTAAGGTGCCCAACTTAGAGCAGAAGTAGAATAAGGAACACACTCTCCACATACCTGGGTGAAAACCCTGTAGGTGGCCATTTCCTAGGCAGAGAGTAAGTGAGTTTCCTCAAGGCTAGTGAAGAGGGATGGCTGTCCTTTACTTCATTCTCTTAGCTGGAGTGAGGATCAGACCCGAGATTCTGTTCCTTCCAGCCCAAACCTCAGACCAGTTTGAGATTTAGGAGGTTTCCTTTCCTAGGAATGTAGGTAGACCAGGTGGAGCCTCTGTCTGGGAGCCCCAGATTCAGCAGTCAGGGTTGGAGTTCCCGCTTCTGTGTGAGCTGCAGTGGGGACAGGACCTCTCAGTGCCTGCACTTGGCGGTGGGAACTGAGGACGTGGACGGAGCCTGGGGAGGATGGAGTTCCAGTTGACATCCCCAGAGGAGAATGGGGGGCTCTGGGCTGAGGCGACAGAGCTCATGTGCTGACTGTTCTCACTCCAGAGAGGAGCAGGAGAAGCTGAACGTGTGGGTGGCACTGCTGAATCTAGAAAACATGTACGGCTCTCAGGAGTCACTGACCAAGGTCTTCGAGCGGGCCGTGCAGTACAACGAGCCTCTCAAGGTCTTTCTCCAACTGGCTGACATCTACACCAAGTCAGAGAAATTTCAGGTAGGAGTCTGGGCCAAGCGGCCTGCTGCCACAAGGTTCCCAGTCACTCAGAAACTGACTCTTGGGAATAACAGAGGCAGCGGGGAAATCTCAGGGAAGAACCCCCACGTTCTGGAACCAGTTCAAGTTTCAGGACCTCCTCACAGACACAGGATTAGTAGGGAGACTGCCCGTCATGTTACGCCTCCTCATCTCTGTGAGCCTGCCCTCACCCCTCAGTATCTAGAATCGGGCCTGCATAGTGATTGGAGTCTTTGAGCCCAAGTCTGTCTTTTCTCGAACAGAACTGCCTGTGTCTACTGTTGCTCCCTCTGTTGCATCACACTTTGCTTAGCCTGCCTTTTCTTTCCCACAGGAAGCTAGTGAACTCTACAACCGGATGCTGAAGCGTTTCCGGCAGGAGAAAACTGTCTGGATCAAATATGGTGCCTTCCTCCTGCGTAGGGGCCAGGCTGAGGCCAGTCACCGTGTGATGCAGCGAGCCCTCGAGTGCCTGCCTAATAAAGAGCGTGAGTACTCATTCCCACCTACCGGTCCAATTCCTGAACACATAGGCTCTTGGGGCATAGAGACTGTGGGTCTCCTCATCTGAGATGGTGATTGGAAGCCTTATGGAGGGTACATAGCTGTCTCTGTTGTTTATATGCTCATGAACATAATGTGCATTGCATTTCAAATGCTAAACCTTGAAAATGGAGGAACAAGAAGCAATTAGCACTAATTCTGTCATCCCTGTCCCCTACCCTTTCTGGACCCAGAGAGTAGGGTATCTGCAGTGGGAGTCATAGATGAGTGCCCATCTGTGTATTTGGCCCTAAAGTCACCCCATCGTTATCTTGTTATCACCTGGGTCTTGGGATCTAAGACCGGGGAGTCAAGAATGAGACTCGTGTCCTTGCAGCACATTGTGTTGTGCCATGGGGTCTGTCTGCTTTGTGTGCCTGAGCTGTCCTCTTCCTGCAGATGTGGATGTAATAGCCAAGTTTGCCCAACTCGAGTTCCAGCTGGGGGATGCAGAGCGGGCCAAAGCCCTTTTTGAGAACACACTGAGCATCTACCCAAAGCGCACGGATGTCTGGTCCGTCTACATCGACATGACCATTAAGCATGGCAGCCAGAAGGAAGTCCGGTGAGAGGGGAAGACAGATCAAGGCTGAATTCCCTATGGGGGTGTGGGGACATTAGCCAAGGGGGTGAGTTTTAGCCCCACAGCAGATCCCAGCATCCCCAGTTGTCTTACTCTATCTGGAAAAGCAGCTTTGACATGACATACCAGGTCCAATGGAATTTACTTTTCCAACATTTTTTTCTGCCTCAAGGACTAGCCTGTGGTCAGTGTCTGGAACCTTGGGTGGGGAGGTAGGCTGGCTGTTGGCCTGGGGGTCAGGAGACGTAGGTTTTTCTCATGATTAGCATTGTACTTGGCTCTCATTGTAGAGAGTGTTCACAGGCGTAATCTCACTGTTGTCCACCGGTGTCCCCACAAGGCAGGGAGGACTAGAGATGGGTAGACTGAGGTCCAGAAAGAACCAGTGCCTCACCCAAGCCCATCAGTGAGTCTTTAGCAGAGCTTTTCTCACAGATCCATAGCATGTGTATTCCCATCCCAGTAGCTTTGTCTTGATTCACCGTGTGACTTCAGGCCACTAAGTCCTTTAACATCTCTGGGTCATCTGCCTGCTCAGCTGGAAAATGAGGGTGGTATTCTCTCTCTTTTAATGGGACTTGATGGGAATTTTTAATAGTAGTTGAGATAAAGATAGAAGTGGGAGTGCTGGGTAACAGAGGGCCCGGCTCCGGAGCCCGAGAGCAAGTAGAGAAAGGCTGGCCAAGAATCACGTGGCCGGAGACTGAGAGGCAGATGCCGCCCTGTTCTTCTTCATAGGGACATCTTCGAGCGGGTCATTCACCTGAGTCTGGCTCCCAAACGAATGAAATTCTTCTTCAAGCGCTACTTGGACTATGAGAAACAACATGGCACTGAGAAGGACGTGCAGTCAGTGAAGGCGAAGGCCCTGGAGTACGTGGAGGCTAAGAGCTCCGTGTTGGAGGACTAGTGGTGGCTGGCTCCGGACAGCCACTGTCAGCAGTGGGCCGGCTCAATCAAACCTCAGGCACTTGGGCAGTTGAAAACTGTGTTGCCTGAGGACTCTATTTAAGTGCTGCTTTTTCTGCAGTACCTGGGGGGTAATCCTGTTAGGATAAAAAGAATTCAAGATTTCTTATAATTTCTTTTGTTTATTTTATCTCAGATAGCAAATTTATCTTTTTCCTTTTCTGAGGGTGCTTAGTGGTCGCGGGCTCAAGAAGAGCCGAGGGTCTCTCCTTGATGGGAGTGCCCGGGGAGCAGGAATAGGAGTGACTCCTGACAGTCTTATGGTCAGGATCCCACTTTGGCCCTGGCAGGCTCTTGGTCCAGCAAGGAGGGGGTCAGCAGGGCCCAGGGAGCAGGCCCCCTCCTTTAGTTCTCGGGGTCTCTGGCCATTCCTTTACCCTTAGCTCAGCTCAGCCATGTGTCTTTTTGTGGAGCATGTGAGGTTGGGACAGGAAGAGAAAGGCAGAGCCCAGAAAGAAAGATGGGGGAACCAGAACGCCTGAGAGAAAAGCCATAGGTAATTGGCATAAACTTCTGGTAACGTCTCTTCCCCGCCCACCAAGGCCAGATAACCCTCCCTCTCCAAATTGGTATGTTAGTTGTGAAAAGGCGTTAAAAGAAGCCTACCTCGAAGGGTTTTGTGGATGAAATGAGAGCATGCATGTTATGTACTGCCACAAGGCCTGGCAGGTAGGAGGCTCAGTGAGGACCTAATCTGACGTACCATATGGCTTTGGGGAGAGCCGCAGTTTCTCTGTGTCTCCTTGTAGTTCTTCTGGAGAGAGAGGTTGCTGAATGGAGAGCATTGATTGATTTGATGGTTTTCCTTGAGTCATGAGGTATAGGGGACATGATGGACCTGCCCTACCCTTACTTCCTGCAACCCTCATAAAATTCCTAGAAAGACGGTCTCTCCACCTCATTTGGTAGGTAACAATCCTGGGTGCTCCAGAGTTCGTGGAGGCCAGCACAGACATGACTAGTTGTTGAAGCCAGTTCTTTTTTGGCTCAGTCTTGAGAAAATTCAACATTTTTCTTTGGCAGAGTTTTAAATGTCCTGAGGTCTGGAGAGCTTTTTCCATGGGAAAGGACCGAGGCATATGTCAGGAAGCAGGACAGGGACAAGGGAGAGCATCAGAGGTTTTAGAGGTGGTGGAGGCAATCAGGCAAGGATGGGCATGGGAGGGAGGAGAAGCCAGGCTGGCCTCATTCTTGGTTATTAGCACTAGGTTACAAGGACTAGTCTGCCCTACTGAGTGTAGAGTCTTCTGACTCAAGAAATTTAAGTTGAGCTTCCCTGAGAAAGACCAGGCTCCATCTGTTTCCCCAGATCATAGCAGATATCCGAATCCAGTTGCCAAGAGATCATCAGCCCCAGGCATTGCCATGTGGGGCTTCCTGTTCCCCTGCCCTTCCTTCCATCCATCATAGTCTCTGTCCCCTCCCACAGGGGATGGGATTTGGGCCTGTCCCCATGACCATTAATCTGCTGTGGTCCATCCAATCATGCAGATACTAAGCTAGTACTTTTATCAAAAAGATTTTTAGAAAAGCTTTATTAAAAAGGTAAACATATGAAATAAAGCCAGTGGCATACATTGGGGTCAGCTTCCCAGCTGAGCACCACTGAACTGGGTGTCCATATGCAATTAGACAATAACATATGCAATAACAAATTAACTGAGTGATATCCTATACAGGTAGCCTACTGTGAATTTCATTGTCATCTGGCTCTGCTCGCCAGGGCTTCTCAGCCTTGGAGTCCCAACAGTAAAAGGCCATTCATATCATAGTTAAGGGTTAATTCTGGGAAAGGTTCTTTTCCCCAGAGCTGTTGACCAGGTAGCAGGTGGCAACAGGAGAGGGGAATTCTTCAGGTCTGAGCTGGCCACCTTGTCTACCGGCTCTCCTCTCTGCACCTAGATTACTTTGTTTCTTTCTCTTGGCCTGTTTTTTTTTTTTTTTTAAAACTATGGTTTTAAAAAGTCCCCTGCCGATGTGCTGATGTGAGCAGACTGTGGGGTTCAGTTTAGGACCAAGGACTGTTATTTGCAAAGGGCGCGGGAACAGGACCCTTAGGAGACGAGCAGGGCCATCTCCATGTTGTCTGGGCCCGTGCCGTTGCCCGTCAGACCCTGGGCCCACTTGTGCAGGCGGCTGTAGAGTGGGAGGCCCTGATTCTCGCGGTACAAATAGACACCGGTGATGGCGTTCCACTGTGGCCGCGGCTGTGTGCCTTGCACCGAGAACTTGGCAACCAGCTCCTCCTCGTCCTTGTTGAGCGCCACGAAACCGAAGAAGCGGCGCACGTTGTTGGCAGCCAGCACCCGCGAGTGCACCTCGGCGGTGCGCTGGAAGAGCTGGTCCTCGCTGTCTCGATACTGTGTCCAGTAGGCCTCCTGGCGGTAGCTGAGCGGTGAGCAGTAATGCTTGAGGCATTTGGTCAGGAACACCAGGATGGCCACCACGCCGATGAGCAGCCACCCAAAGAGCTGGCCAGAGAAGGGCAGGGTTGAGGAGGGGCAAGGAGCTGCCTTCACCCCCCACCCACCCAGGATGAAATAGGAGGAGTTGGTCACAGGGTGAGCTGGGCTGAATAGGGGCCTCAGAACCCCCTGAGAGCTGGCTCTGTCACTTCCCTGGCTGAAGATTCTGCTTCTGTAAGGGCAGCAGGCCCTTTGGGCTCTAATTTCACCACTTTGTCCTCACCTCTTGAATTCACACTTTACCAGTTCTTAGACTTTGCCATCCAAGATTTCTGGTGCTGTTCCTTCAGCCCCACGGGCCCCCTTCCACATTATCTCAGCCCATCAAAACCTACCTCGAACTGAGGTGCAGGCCAGATGCCGCCAACAGGAAGACTTCAGAGGCCACTCTGGGAGCACTCTGCCTTCCCTGAGTACCCTATATCCTGGTTCCTCTAACATCACTCTGCCTTGTTTTGAAATCGCCCATGTGCTTATTATCTCAAACACCTGCTTGGGTGTGAACCTGTTGAGGTCATCTTTGTTTCCCATTTGATCTTGTACATAGATCTGTGGGTATTTGGTCATCAAATAATTTTATTTCTCTGTCTTCCATCTTCCATCTCCTTTGGTGCTGTCTCCAGCCCTACTTCTCTCTCTATTTATATTTCTTATGTACCCAAGAGGACACTTTTTAAAACATCTTGTGTTCCTTGTCTCTCACCTCCTGCTTCTTTGAGTTAATGCTCCCAGCTCAGTTTTCTGCTTCTGCCCAGGTCTCTGCCCTTGCTCTCTCCTCTTCACCAGCCTCTACTCCTTCAGAACTAAGCCAAGGCTGAGGCTGGGACCAGGGCAGCAGCTGCTGCTTCCTGATTCAACACCCCTTCCTGGCTGAAGGGGCTCCCCTTACGTCAACAGTGCCTGATTCAGTGCTGGGCACAGGTCCTTCCTGGGATAGGAACATGCTAGTCCCTGGAGCCAGCCACACCCTACTATCAACTCATGGCCTACAGCAAATGTTTCATAAGTTTACAAGGGTTTGTGCCAAATCTGGCTGGAGTAAGGGATTTAATCTGTGACTGAGATCAAGGCTCAGTCTGAGCCAGGAGGACATTCCTTTAGCATTTAAAACTCTTATTTGATACTGGAATTGACCCTTGTCCTACCAGGCACTAACCCATGGGTTACCCAGCTCTGATAACCTGACGCTGATAATCTAGTGCTTTCTTGGAGACCTCGGCCCCCTGAGGACAACCCCCAGCCTTACAAGGGGCCATGCCGTCACCTCCCCAGCAGCCATCACCAAGAGAAGAAAGAAGAGCTTCCCTTTGCACAGCCTTACCTGGGACTCATACTTGAGCCTGCGGCTGACTTCCTCCCGGAAGCCTGACAGGTTGGCAGGGCCCTCCCCGCAAGGGAACCTGGCCAGGATTTCTGTGGAATGTTCTGGTGGGAAGCCCTCTTCCTCAGCCTTGAGTGAGGAGGGGTCCACGAATTCACTGAGAGCACAGACATAGGCCTCACCACGCAGCAAGGAGATGACAGACCAGGTGACAGGGGCCACAGCCGCGCGGCCCAGGATGGAGCTTAGGAGGAGGAAGGTGGGAGCAGCCGAGCAGTTCTTGGTCCTCCGGTACTGGCATTCAGCAACTAGATTCCAGGTGTGATTGTTGAGGATGACACCAATGAGGAAGAGTGCCAGGGCGGGCACACCGATGGCCGTCAGCCCATACAGGTAGTTCCGGGCTGGTGAGCAAGGACAGTGGAAAGCCACCACACTGAACAGCTCCTGGCTGCCCACCGTGCCCAGTGCCACCAGCCCATTGAAAATCATCACATCCTTGCTCTTGAAGAAGAGTGATAGGAACCGGAAGTTCTCGGCGATCAGGGCTGCCATTGTGATAGATCAGTTGGGGGACCAGCTATAGGGGTAGAGACAGGACTAGGAAGCACAGGCTCGTGGGCATCTGAAGGCAGCGCACAGTCTTGCCATTTTATCCTCCGGGGTGGCCGGCCTGGTCCTCCCTTTGCTTCTGAGAACAAGGATAGAGGGGATTTTGTGTGGCCAGGCTGGTGAGAAAGGAAGGAGACTGGGGGAGCCCTGGGCCCTGGGGGGAGCGATGGTAGCCACTGTTCACTGAGCTCCTACTATGCGTCACGTGCTTTACATTGCCCGTCTCTGGTTTAGGAGATCCTGACTTGCTGCCCTTCACCAAATGCTTCACCAGCTGCCTCTCTCTGGTTTAGGAGATCCTGACTCAACGTCCTTCATGACTTTCTCTAGGCCTCAGTTTTCTCATCTGTGAAAAGAGTATAAATCATTCTGGTCCTTGCTCTACTCTTAGGGATGCTAGAAGGAAAAAAAAAGGGAATAAAAAATGCCCGATAATTATCTTACATGTGACATAGGACACTATGTCCCCCATTTCTCTCACCCTATTAAGTCTTCAGGGTGGCTCCCAGAGTTGAGGCGAGTGGGGTGATTCTCCTTCCTGTAAAGATCACGCAACAAAGGCCTAAAGAGGATTAAGTGCCTTGCTCAAGCTACCCAGGCAGGACTTTGGACCTCGAGTCCAGAGGAGGAGGCCTGGAAAGTGGACCAGGGTAAGTCAAGCTAAGTGAGTCCTCCATTGCTTTATGCACATCCACTAGAGCCCTGGCAAACCTCCCCTTCCCTATCTGTTACTTCTACCCTTTCTAGCTGCCTCCCAATAGTCCTGTTCACCCAGGTCCCTGGGCCCAGCCTGCCAGTGACAGGAAACTTTGATGAAGGCTAAGGCTCGGCTGTGCCCCGTGGCCCATCCCCAGCCTGCTCTGTCTTAGTCTGGGCTGCAGCAGTCTTGGCAGCCTGCCTGGAAGTGGTCATGGCCTGGGTTCCAGCCATGTTCTGCCCTAGCTCCCATCCCAGGCTCCACCCACACAAGTCAAGTGACAGACAAGGGTATGGCCTCGTGTCTTTTCTTCATCCCGAAGAAGAAAAAAGTCCGCAGGCCAGAGGAAGCCGGGAGTGGAGGGATGGGATGGGCAGCTGACAAAGTTGAGGAGACCTGCCTGTATTTCCTTCTGTGCCTCCCGTCTACTCCACCACCCATCCCAGTCTTTGACAAGGCTGCCAGATGCTCTAGGGCAGAGCCAGCTGGCCACGTGGGGTACCAGGAGATGGAGGCAGAGGAGGGATCTGTCTGACTCTTCCCAAGTCATAGCCCAGGGCCTCCAGCCTAACTCCCTGGGAAAGGGAGTTTATAATATTCTTGGGGATGAATGGGTTAAAAGCAGCTCC